TGTGCTATAACCCACTTGTTATTCATTCATGCAAAGACGGGCCGCAGCTGACAAGCCGTCACGAAATTTATTTGATCGAATAAATTCTGCCATATTCACTTGAAGTATGTAGGGCTCCCTTTATAATTTTAAAAAGTCTAATTTAAAAATATAATAATCCTATACAATGTCTATTCAGATCGCATTTTTAAGTGTAGTTGATGACCACTTACATGTTATTTTATTAATGACATACGGAAATTTATGATATTCCATAACCGAGGTGTATATACCTTGTAGCTTATAGTGCAATGGCAACTGCAGATCGGGCACACAGTTACTCGGGAGTTTAAAATATATTTTATAAACAAAAACACGTAATTCGTTCTGTTAAGGCATATGAAATGGAGGTGAATTTCTGTGAAAATAATACAAGAAAAAAGTATTGTTGATTACGCATTTTATAAAGTAGCGTCGATTTTTCGGAGACAGGGAAAATCTAAAGGAACGTTGTCTACTAAGTAAGTAGTCGCTTTTATCGATTAGGTTTTGTTTCTGGGGGCCGAAAAGAGGGCAGCGGGCAGTCTAGTGTGTCTGAGGTATATGTTTCAAGATACTTACTATTACAATTCCACTTATTCACTCAGAGCGCAGGGCCCTGTTATCTACGCCTGTGTCTTAGTGCCTGCGACTATGACGCTGACCTAGAAAATTGACCGTGGCTTGGTAGGAAGGTTCATTTCTCAGAAGAACCTAGGACAGAGACGATGTCAGAAGGACTAGGTGCCGACGCTCGGTGACCTTCGCATGATCTCCGCAGTCTTCTCCTCGTGGGACCCTTGGGAATTATGACAAAAATCGCGATGGGCTTCTCCTGACTTGCTTCAAACACTCTTAGCACAGGCCATCCTATTCGAATATACTCTCTTCCCCACCCCGCACCTCCATGGGCGACAATTTTTCTCCTTCAATCTCTCAAATTGCATTCACACATCTAGACTTTCTGAACCATGCTTAAGGAGTTTTTCACTGTCGGCTCTCCCTTACCCATTTCCAATAACTGGCAAAGTCACAGTTCTGAAATGTTCTACTGAACAAATGAATTCAATAACTGTTCTGCACAATAGGGACTTCAAAGGTATTTACCTACATTTCCCTCAATAAAACCTGACCTGACCTGACACATCATCGGGTGTACCTTCAGTACTATGCATACGTAGTATGTTGTTCCTCAGTTGTAGTTCGCTATCACGTCATTACCAATA